ATATGTATATATCTATAAGTCTGAACGTAACGCGGTGCACGTGTACATCGCGTCCATCGCATCGTCAATATGTAAACATATATATGTACTCTGCCATGTGTGTATGTTCTATGAATGTACGTGTGCGTGTTTTCCTTCGCACGTGTGTATGTGCGATCGGAGTAAGGTGCATCGAAAATATATAACATTAAGAGAATCGAAGATTTATGCGAGCGAATTTACGTATGCGCGCGTTGATTACAAATATTCTCTTAGGTGTGATCGTTTGTGTGTGTGTCTAAGTGTGTATGTGTATGTGTGTGTGAGTGTAATTGATGCGTTTGTACACATCGATGCGCGATTTGTTCAGAGTCGCAACGCGTCTCTCCGTGTTGCGAATTACGCGATCGAATGAGGCGGCGAACCCGCGAAACACGCGGCGATCACCACCCAGTCTTACGTACATTGAGAAAAAAAGAAAAAAGAAAAAGAAAAAAAAAATAAAAGTTAGACACGAAAAAAGAAGAAAAAAAAAAAAAAAGAAACAAAGAAGATCGGACGAATCGATCGCCCATCCTTAATCTTAATTTTCGTTTATCTCTCGCCGTAAATTCCAAAGGGTCAAAGAAAAGAGTCGCAACAACATGGCGGCTGCGCGAAAATCTCGAAATTGCTCGTGGCTTTTTTTTTTTTTTTTTCTCCTCGTTTTTCTCCATATCTTTTTCTCCGTATTGTTACGCGTCGTGTTAACAGACGAACAGAGAAAGTGTCCGATGCACTTGGTGTAAATAAAAGTTCGCCATGAGCAGAGGCACTTTTCTTCCAACACGTGAAAAGTTGTCGACGTAAGCTCCAGCTGCCGAAAAGCTTCTCCTCGGGCGAAACCGACGAGCGTCTCTTCTTCAAACGAGTCACGCCTCCTCCTCCTCCTTCTCCTGTTATTCCTCGCTTCTTCTTTCCCTTCTCCTCTCCTCGAGGATCCGTCTTCCTCTCCGTTTTCCATTCCCACCGCGTCTTTTCTTCTGTCCGCGATCCGCGTGTCGTTTCTCTCGAGGAAACGCACGTGCACCTCGCGTTCTCCGCGTGATGGAACGGGACAAAAGACGCAGTAACGGCCGCGATGCTCGATCCAGGACGTTCTTCTTTACTTTTACCCGGATGACGCGAAAGGATCGAGAGGGAGCGTCGGGCGAGCATCCGGAAAGCGGAAGTCGTTTCGAGGCGCGTCTCTTTCGCAATGGTATCGATTCGAAAGGGAAGGGACGAAGGTCGACGACGGCGGTGGACGAGAGAAAGGCGCGATACGCGCGGCGCGATGGCACCGCGATGCTCGACGAGGATGATGACGTCGTGCGCTACATGGGTCCCACCGCGTGTTGCTGGAACTGATCGAGATGCCTCGAGATCTCGCGGTGCAATTGTTCCGGTACCACTCCGACGCTGCTGAACAAAGACCTGAGAACGTTGAGCTCCTCCGTGAGCAGTTCGATCCTCTTCTTGAGCAGGTCGTTATCCTTAACCAACAGCTTCACCTTCTCTTCGGTCTCCCTCGATCGTACCTTTGCCTTCTCGCGGCTCTTTCTCACCGCTATGTTGTTCCTCTCGCGACGCCTTCTGTACTCGTCGCTCGCCTTGTCGATCGTCTTTGTTTGTTTTCTGGCAACGGCGGCGGCAGTGTTGGCGTGGTGTTGATGGGCCATCACCGGTTTCATCGGCCCGCCCCGTGGCGGTGGTTGATGGACCGGTGCACCGGGATGGCCACCCGGTACCGTGGACGGTGTCAAAGTGGTGAAGGTCGGCGCTCCGTTCGCGAACGGCCCGTTCGTGACCGGGCTGTATCCACCGGGCGGATATTGCGGGCAGTGGCGGCGATAATCCGCCGGGTCTAATGGTTCCTCTTTGATGCTGGGCGACTCGGAACTCGAGCTGTTGCTGTCGCTACAACTGTTGCTGCCCTGGTGATAACTCGCTCCGCTGTGGACAGGTTGCGGCATGTAGGCGAGCGTGGTGCGTGGATAACCCGGCGTTCTCACGTGCTTCACCGCTCCGTTGTTCGCCCCCAACATGTCCAACAGGCCGTCGTTGAAGTGGCTGTCGTCGATCAGGTGCTGCAGATCTAACGATATCTCGGGTGTGTTCAGGTCTGTCAGCTCGCCGGCCGCGGCGCAATGTTCCGCGTACTGTTGGTGAAGGCTAGCCTTGCTCGCCGAGACCTTGCTCACCACCGAACCGCTTTGCTGCTGGCTGTGATTATGATTCACTTGAAGAGCCGAGTTGTTGTTATTCGCAGCGTTGTTGTTATTGTTATTGTTGCTCTGATGATTGTTGTTGTTGTTGTTGTTGTTGCTGAGTACCTGAGACTTCTTAAGATCGGCCGCACCGTGGGCCTGGGCCTGATGGGCCGCTGAATCGTACATGACTGGTGACTCCATTGCCTTCACTCGCACATCACAAATACCGTAATATCTTTCCGCAATTCTGTCCTATCACCTTCTTCTTCTTTTTTTTTTTTTTTTTTTCCTACTATTTACCGAGTAGATATCCGATCGTCCGTAAAATCGATTCTTGTTCTTTAATCCTCGTTATTACTTTCTTTTAATAATAATTACGCTTACTCTCGTACTCTCTCGGTGTCACGGTGTTGTCCACGGAAAAAAAGACAGAGAGAGAGAGAAAGAGAGAGAGAGCCAAACGTATCGCTGTGAAACTTTACCACGAGAGAACGAGCTCGTATGGCAAGCCGGGAATTTTCCTGTGCGGACGAGCCGAGATCTGACACTGGTCCAAGTATCAAAACGTGACCCTCGACTATTCCAATTTTCGAGGACGAAGACGAGCATCTAATGTTCGATCGTTTTAGAGAAACGCGATTGTTTCTTCTTCGCTTAAAACCGCGTGGTTCGTATGTGCCAACGCGTTCACCACGCCTACGCGGGCTTTTTCGTGCTCGCGGTTACGGTACACCACAAGGAATGATGAGAAACCGAGAAAACGATACCACCCGCATGAGAGCTGGCGCACGACTGAGCGGCTTTGCGGCATGTCGCAAGCTTTCAATGTGGCGTGCGTCGAGAGCAACTCCATGGCTCATTGCGCTTGCGCTCGCCCTCTCACCCGCTCTCCCCGTCTCTTTCCTCGTGAACCGATCCGCGCTAAGAGCGTGGATACCGCGCGTCCACCATGTTCGCTCTTTCTCTCTCCCTCTCCAGTTTTCTCGAATTACTCCTTCCTTCTTTCTTCCTCTCCTTTCTATCTTCCCTTCCTCCTTCTCTGTCGCTCTTTCCCTCTCTCCTAAGCTAAATCTTTCTTTGTTCGTTTTAGAGGCTGACATGCTGTCGTGTTCCGTCGCGGCATCGCGCGACAGGAAAACTTTTCCGGTGCTCGCCTTTCTCGATTCTATTTATAAGAATTTATATACGAATCTACCGTCCTTTCGATACACGGATTTTCCAATTGAAATTGGAAAATTTTCCTCCCGATTTTTATCTCTTGTACAATTGTTTCTCTTCCGATTGTATATGCGCCTCCCGACGATAGCCCCGTTCACTATATAACGTATGGAGAATGCGCGATTTGTTTCGCGGGACAAGTTACTCGACGATTATCGTTACCGTCATCGTTGGGCACTCGATCGGAACCGATTTCTATGTAATAGCGGGTACATTTGATTTGTCAGTTAGCGCATGCTGATATCTGTCCAATTGCTTGCGTGAGATTGCGCAATTAGCAGTAACAAAGTGAGAGAGAGAGAGAGAGAGAGAGAGGATATGATCGGTGATAGATGCAAGATCTTTTGCATGAATTTTATAGGGATCGAATGAATAATAAATGATGTTTATATTACCGAAGTGTCTTTTATCCGTATCGTAAAATATTACGAGCGGTTTCGTTTAAATTTGGAACAACATCTCGTCGAGAGGAGAATTTGAACTTTATGATGCATGGTTTTAACTGTTCTATCTTTGTTTTAGGAGACCGCGTCCTTTGATGTTATATCTAGGAATGCATTTTGCGCGCTGCAATGACGTCGATATACAATTTTGGATTGACATTTATGTTGGGAGAATTTCGAATATTCCTCCAAGCGCGTAAATCAACGCCGCCAACGACATCTTGAGACGAAGAACGAAATTATTACCAGTCGGTACAATGTTTCCGAACCGATCTAGAACGGAAAGATCCGAATTCGACCGAATTTCTTTGCCGTGATATTAGCCACAACAAAAAATTGGTAACATTCGCTTGAAAACTTTTCGGCAATACATGTTCTTCGCGTTCTTTTTGTGATTCAGCGTTGTACCAGAGAATACAGTGCTTCGTCAAGCCAAGGTACGTAATGAATTTCGATAGGTTATTTTTCTCGCGCGTTTCGTATTGTTGGTCCGTTGTGGGTCTACGAGTGTCTTTGACGGAACGATCATTCGTATCATGTACGCGTATTGTTATGACAAAATACAAGTAACACGTCATGCAAAGCATTTTCAAAAACTACATTAGAACGAATTTATGTTATATCGTGACACTTTTCTTTTTTTTCTAATTTTAGTTTATTAAATATTTTCAAACGCATCGTATACGAATCGTTTGAATATTTTTAGGCTTAACCTAAACAAAATCTGGTACATACAATTCAACACGAGATAGCAACTTTTTGCTTCGTCTACATTTTAGAAACTTTGACCTTCGTCTTATAATGTGTATTCCTTCCCCCTTTTCTCTCTTTCTCTCTCTTCCTTTCTCTTCCTCTCTCTCTCTCTCTCTCTCTCTCGTTTTGTTACGATTCTTTAATTATTATATTAAATAAATATTTTTTTTTGATCATATAAATATTTGATAACAGAGATTTTTGTATTCAATGTGTCCTTCAATTTATCCTCGTGTTTATGTAAATGTTATTGTTATTGTTAATATTACTCTGTTTAATATATCTTAGCTTATTATGTTATTGAAACTTGTTTTTCCAGTTCTAAAATAAAAGCAAAGTTCATTAAAACATTGGGTGTCAACAATGGCAGATGAACAACAGCAGTTTTTTCTTAAATGGAATGATTTCCAATCTAATATGGTATCGTCGTTTAAACATTTACGAGATGAAAAAAGTTTCACGGATGTGACATTAGCTTGTGATGGTCAAACTTGTAAAGCACATAAGATGGTGTTATCCGCTTGTAGTCCTTATTTTAAATCCTTATTAGAGGTATGAGATATTATTATTCTAATTTGAAATATAACTTTTGCACGATAAGAGGATTAAGTAACAAAATTTTATAGGAAAATCCGTCCAAACATCCCATTATAATTTTAAAAGATGTTGCATACAGTCATCTTCAAGCTATTTTGGAATTTATGTATGCAGGAGAAGTTAATGTTTCACAAGATCAATTGCCTGCATTTCTTAAAACTGCTGATCGACTTAAAGTTAAAGGATTGGCAGAAGCACCAGGTGCCATTAAGAGAGAGGGTTAAAGTTACACTTATAGTTATGGTAAGAGTTAAATTTTATCAATTGATTATTATTTTTATGCTTTTATCCAATCTGGTATCTGCACTTCCTCTTCCAGGATTTTGGGAAGCGTGCGGACTGAAAAAAGTGTAATAATGTAAAGTGATTGCGTAAAGACATAACACACATTATAAAAAACACACTACGTGTGCACAACTCAGTGTCCTCTGGTTCATGACTTGGATCAACATACCACGACAATGTAAATTATGCCTTTTCTTAATCTCAGTTAATGTTAATGTTGTATTGAATGTATGTATACAAATATGGTAGAGATGAAATGTTGATGTTTGTCTTGAACCTGTTGCGCCATGTAGTGGCGACAGCAACATTGATTATTTTTTTAAAACAAAGTGCTGCAAAAAACTAATAAGTGGGTCACCATAGTTTACAATACACGAGACAGTTTTGTGGATCAAATGGAAATGTTAAAAGACATCTTTACAACTGCTGTTTTTAAAATGGATCTATTGACTCACTATACTTTCCTATCGGTGGTTTTATAGTAGATTTATTCACGAGATATTAAAATTTCTTGAGTTTATATTATATATGGCTAAAACTAACTTTTTTACTGTTCTTTTTCTATTGTAAAGAATAGTGCAATACTTTTTTGTAATATAACTCGAATAAAATATATTCAAGAAATAAAATTGTATGATGTATTAGAAAATCAATGTATATTATACATTGTTATACATGTTATATTAATAATATAATATAGTTTTGCTGGCATTGACAAGAAATTTAGATCATATCGTGAATAGATCTGCAATACCCCGATAATCCCATGAAAGAATGTTAAATCAAGTTTACTGGAAGTTGTAACATGCGTGTCGTATTATTGCTCTCTTTTATTATTTGCAATATATTTGGTTTAAGTGTATATACACAATTATTTCTCAAATTATTTTCAGAATATTAGATGATTATTCACGTAAAAGTTTATTCAATCGAGAAAACGCGAAATTGAAACAAAAAAAAAAAAAAAAAAAAAACTTTGATGTGAATAAATATTTCTAATATTTCAAGCAATAATCGTGTGTATGTATTCAACCGAATATAGTATAAGTAGATTGATAAATCGTGTCGTTTCTCATCGATGAATATTTATAATTGGAATTGAAGTAATAGTTTCGCTCATGTTTAATTCAATCGGTACCAGTTACCTCTTCTAGTGATCATGATTTTTTTACTTAACCAAATACTGCCAGTATTTATACCGGCGTATTCACAATATTACCGATAGACCAAATTTATTTATGATAATAATATATATTAAGGGTTGAATATCTTAAATCGAGGGAAGGTTATTGTAATATAAGCGAAGCAAATTTTTGTAAAGTCGGAGCGCACAGTTCCTTTCCCCTCCCGATGAATCAGAATAATCAGAGATTTAAAGAAAAGAAAGTCAGGAAACATTATCGAGTCAAGAACATACGTATGTATTAACATGCGTTATTAACATAAAAACTATTTTATCTTTTACTATATATCATAAATATATCCAAAAATTTTATTATTTTTATCTTGAACTATTAATTTTATTTCTCTCGTAAGCTTATGAATTATATTTTTCGCTTTATTATTATTATTATTATTATTATTATTATTATTATTATTATTATTATTATTATTATTAT